TCTCAACTCCTACATTCGCCTTTATGACCCCAACTTATTATTAAACAACAGCCGCTTGGCACTAAGTTGGAACACAATTCAAAAAAATATTTATAGAAATAAAAAAATCATTGCAACAGACAGTAACAATAACAATTAAATTACGTTTACATTACTGCAAAAGAAAGCATTTGCAAATAAAAACAAACATAGCATGATAGCAATGAAAAAAAACAACATCACAAGCAAGATAGAAATAAAAAAAAAAGAAATAAATAACAACAACACAACAAGAATAAATATTTAGAGGGAAAAATAAAAGCAACGGCGGAGAATGCAGACAGGCGAAAAGAAAGCAAAAAAATATATAAAATTAAAAATAAAAATTCTTAAATAAATAAATGCCTAGTCAACAACATTTGAGCCCACCAGTCACAAGAAAACCAATAACAACAACAACGCGCGCCAACCAACGCCACGCAAACAAACAAAGTAGCCACTATCATTGCAAACTGCGACTGAATACTACATATTTGCGGCCTTATTGGCACACCGGGGGCCCGTGAAGGGGTTAAGGTATTCTTTGTTATGTCTGCCCGCAGCTGCGTTGCTACGCTGCCGTGTCTAAGAGGCACATAAACACACATACATAGTTGGCTAACTAGACATAAGTTCGTCGGCTGGCTGTCGTGCTGCTTGTCTGACAGTTGGCTGGCGTGCTTTGTACATGCGTGTGTAGCAGGCAACACCGATACTGCTGCTACTGACTGACCGTCGACTGACCAACTTGTAGGCCAATTGGCTGTGTAGGCGGGGTATCGGTATGGAATAAGTGAAATAAAATAAAATATGTGCACGGCGAGTAGGAAGAGAAAAAACAGTCACAAACACGAAACACAAAACACGAAACACAAAACGCAAAGCGCGCCTCCTGGGGTTTGACGCTAGAAAAGTTTCATCTTCTTCTTCTTTTTCTTATTGTTATTTTGCAGAATCTCGGGTGACAGTCTTGCTATAGAGTCAGCTCTTGCGAAAATGCGAAAATGGTATATGCTTAAATATCTGCAGTAAATACTATATACATAAATACTATATACGTACATATTATAAAAGAAATTCATTGAGTGCTGTAGTGGGGTAATTTTATAGTCCCAAAGCAAAATCATTTTCATCTTTATTTTTCGTTTTTTTCTCTATTTTGAGATTTTTGTTTATTTATTTTTAATTAAATTTTAATATTCGTATACTTACATACAGACATACATATATACATAGACATTTTCATTTTATTTCATTTCCTTTCTTTTTCAAAAAAAAGTTTTTCATTCATGAATTCGCAGCCACAATCGAGCCTGACGTGGGCGCAGCGTTCGTTGTATGACATTTGAATTATTTATTGCAGATTTTCTACTTTATTTGTTGTTGTTTTTTGTTTTGCCCAATATTGCGGATTGCGTGTCCATTGGCAATATTTGTGTGTTTTTTTATTTGTATTTTTATTTTTTATTTTTCTTTCAAACGAATTCCGTTAAGAGCGAATTTTATATTTTTCTTTAAAAATTTTTAACACAATTAATGTGTAATTATAAGAAAATAGGGACGTCTTAATTTTTACCTTATATACATATGTAGATACATATATTATTATTATTATAGAAAAATTTCTATATTAACGCAAATACAAAATTTATTTAATTAACTTTTAGTTTTATCGAAAGATTTTTGGTACCTAAATATTAATATTCTTGTATCAGGTATTAAATAAAATATAGTCAAATATTTAATAAATTTTATTTCATCCTAAAATACATACATATGTATTTAGAAAAAATGTATAACCTCACTTTATTGTAAAAATCAGAAAAAATAAGCAACACTTCAAATGAAAAGTTAAAAAAAATTAGTTGGCATCTGTAAAACAAACAATTTTTAATACTGGTACACAAGTAGATATATATATATGTATATACTCATATATGATATATGCACAATAGCCAGCCAAAAACTGCAGTAAATGAGAACAACACGTTTCCAAGAGTATTTTCTTTGTTATTGTTGTTGTTGTTTTTTTTTAATTTCTTCTATTTATTTTTTTTATTCGTCGTCTTCCATTTTTCTTTGCTTTGCAGACTGAGTGTCTGAGAAGATGTCGTCGTCGCCGACCATAGTGCTGTTTGTCGGTTATTACTATTCCCGGCTGTCTGTCTAACTGTGTGTCTTTGTTGGGTTGATTGTGTGCTTTTGCATTCATATGCATGTGCATACATTTGTGTGGTATTATATGTATGCAAGTATATGATATATTTTCTGGCGTGTAGGTTTTTAGCTTTCTATTTATTTGTCTGGCAACTGTATTACATCTCTGCTACAGTTTAGTCACTTTGTCGGTTGCTTTGCGATTTTTTTTTTTTTTTTTTTTTTTTTTATTTTTATTTTTTGAACGAGTATTTCTCAAGATTGTGTTAAAGTGTCGCAGACAGTATGCTGACGCTGCAATTGTCTCAGTTGGCGTAGAGCCAAAATGAAAAATAAATGTAGAATAAAAAGATCAAAATATAAATAGTAAAGTATTGAAAAAGGAAAACAAAGAATTATTTGAAAACAAACTCGTTTAAAATAGCGCAAGTCTTAAAGGAAGACATATGGGCATGATCCCGGTAATTGACGCAAGAGCTCATGTACATATATATGTATATACTTTTAATTTTGTATATGTTATTGCATACGGAATTTTCAGCATACTACAGAGATGTTTGTGTATTTTATTTGCCGGATGCTTAATACATTAAATGAGGTAAAGCTAAATTTTAAAAAACTATATTAAATACAAAATTCCAAATTTAGTAAACCAAAGTAATTTAAATTAAATAATAATAAACCAAAAAAATTAATTATAATACCAAATTTAAAATTACCAAATTTTAAATTAATTGGAATTAAATGAAAAATAAAATTTTATTTTAGTGAAAAAAATTAATACAGTAAAAGAAGCTTAAATTATATTCAAATAAAATACTAAATTAAAACCAGAAAAAATAAGTGAATGAAATTGATATAAGTGAAAAAATAAACTAATAAAAAAATTAATTAATTAAAAATAAACTTAATTATTTATTTAAGATAATTTAAAGCAGACCAAAATAAAATAAAACAACAAAATAACAAAATAAATTAAGAAAATTAAATTAAATAAAACAAAAACAAACATGTTTAGTAAAAATTAAAATGAAAAATGACATAAATGAAATTTAATTACAATAATTCAAATAAAATTAAAAGGCCTTAAAATAATATTGAACTTAACTTAAAATAAAAATAATTTAAAATTAAAAATAAAATACTTGAAGTAAAAAATAGCAAAAAGTTTGAAAGCATTTAAAAACAATAAAATAAATTACAATAAAAAAAATTAAATCAACTAAAAAATGAAAAAAATAAAAAAATAGAAAAATTAAAAAAAAAATTAAAATTAAAAAATAAAAAAGTTAAAAAGTTAAAAAGTAAAAAAAATAAAATAATATGTGAAAAATAAAATTAGAAATATATATGAAATAAACATTAAAAATAATAAGAAAATAAAATTAAATAAAATATGAAAAAATTAAAAAATTTAAAAATAAAAAAATAAAAAAAATAAAAAATAAAAAAGTTAAAAAGTGAAAAAAATAAAAAACTAATAATAAAAAATAAAATAATATGTGAAAAATAAAATTAAAAAAATAAAAATTATAAAATAATAAAATTAAATAAAAAATAAAAAAAAATTAAAAAAAAAAAGTTAAAAAGTGAAAAAAAATAAAAAATAAAATAATATGTGAAAAATAAAATTAAAAAAAAAATAAAAATAATAAAAAAATAAAATTAAATAAAAAATGAAAAAATAAAAAATGAAAAAATAAAAAATGAAAAAATAAAAAAATTAAAAATTTAAAAAAAAATAAAAAAAAAAACAAAAAAATAAAAAAGTTAAAAAGTGAAAAAAATAAAAACAAAAATAATATGTGCAAAATAAAATTAAAAAATAAAAATATTTAAAAAAAAATAAAAATAATAAAAAAATAAAATTAAATAAAAAATTTAAAAATTTAAAAATTTAAAAATGAAAAAATGGAAAAAATGGAAAAAATGAAAAAATAAAAAAGTTAAAAAGTAAAAATTAAAAAAATTAAAAAATAAAAAATAAAAATATAAAAAAAATAATATGTGAAAAATAAAATTAAATAAAAAATTATATCAAATAAAATGAGTTAAAATTAAATTTACTTAAATTAATATAAATTAAATTGAAAAAATTAAATAAAGAAATGATATGAAAAAAATTAAAAAAAAACCAAATAAACGGAAACTAATTCAAATTATTTTAAATTATATAAAGTATAAAAGTATAAGGTACAAAAATTAAAAAAAAAATTAAAATTATTTCAACTAAACTTCAAAAGGTTTGAAATGAAAATTTTAACAAATAATAAAAGGAAAACTAGAAAGGAATATATGTAACATTATTATTATTATTAATAAATTGGAATAAAAAAGCGAAATAAAATAAAAAATTATTAAATGAAAAAAATCTAAAAGTACTTTAATTTGTTTCTATTCGGGAGAAATTAAAAAAAAAACGTGGTTCCGTAATTATTTTTTACCTCAATTCAGTTCTAAAAGGTCAAACAAATGTAAAAGTTATGTACAAAAAAATATATAGTTAGAAAAGCACCAACTGTTTTAGTTTCTAAATAATCAATGAAAATATGACGGCAGCCATTTTAAAACTATCAATAATTGCTGAAGTGACGTCACAATAGCAACTGATTATGTCAAACTTGACGAAATCTAATATCAAAGCATTTAAATAAAAATTAAAATTTTACAAGAAAAAAACGCAAAATTTTTAAAATTATCCAGTATTTTTGAAAAAAAAAAAATTTTTTTATTGTATTTTTCTAATAATTTATATTATTTAGTTTAATTTTCTTAGCAATAATTCGAATAGAAAATAATAAATTTTTCTCTACTTTTTCTTACAGATGCTATCGGTACAGACTGCCGGCTACGCGGGAATGGAGCGGCTCGGCGTTCCGACCCGCACCACACTTAACTCACCACCGGACGACAGGTAATAGATGAGCCAAATGTCCATTTACAGTAGTTTTATAACAACAATTTACTCTTACATATATATTTATTGCTATTTTTTATTTTTTCTTTCGCTTGGTTATTATATCAATACAGAGGGCAATATAGCTGTAGAATGCGCGTGGAGACATTGCCAGCGCGAGAAATTTTAGTACGAAGCGAAACTGTGATCCGTAGCAGCAACAACACTAGCAGTAATAGCAGCAGCAGCAGCAGCAGCAGTTGTTCGATTAGTGCCGCCATCAACGGCAGTAGTGGCAGTAAGATTAGCCAAAAGCAACAACAACAGCAACAGCAGCAGCCGCGGCAACAATTAGTGCAACAAGAACATCACAATCAACATTCCCACCATCAACAACATCATCACCAACAACACCAACATCAACACCATCACCATAAACACCAGCAGCAGCAACAACATTACCAGCGTATGTCGCAACAGCAGCAGCAAGAACAATCAGAACGCTGCGACAATGGCAACGAGGATGATTGCAGCAACCAAAGTATTAGCAACAACAATAGCAGCAGCAATTTCATGCGCGGCGGTATCGAGGCGTCCACCCTCAAGTATGGTAGCATGGGCAGCGGGAGTGGTGGATACGGCGGAGGCAGTTATGGTGGCAGCAGCATTTCGGGCAGTTCCTGCACCTGCAATAGTCACAGTATCGACCATCATCAGCACTATCAGCAGAGCGGACAAGGGCAATTGAAGCCTCAACGCATACCGAATTGCCCACATCATGTACCCCTGCCGGACAGCGAATGGGGTCAGGATCGCAATATGCAAATACGCGCAAGCTATCAGGTGAGTTAACAATGAGATCTCATTCCACATCCAATTTGTATATTAATCATTATATTTTTCTCTCCTCTATTCCACCCTCAGCAATCGGAAATAACGCGTTCCTATATTAAACCACCGCCGAATAGGAGCATTAAAGACCTACCGGATAATTATAATGCTCTGTCGGCGCTTGGCGGTTCCAATATGTTGTTATATGGCGCGCCACCCAATGTTGTGGCGCCATATCCACCACAACAGCAACAACAGCCACAGCCGCCGCCACAGCCAACAAAATCAAAGCCAAACGTGATCACAAAGCTTTTCTCACGCAAAAGCACTCCCAAATCGCCCACAATGCTAGCGAACACATCCCCGTCAACGTCCGCCACCGCATTGGCCACGAGTGCGTCTATAACGTCCATGCCCGCATCAACAACGTCCTCAGCGTCGTCGCTTGCATCAGCCGTTTTGCAGCATACGTCAGCCATATCGCCTACTGCATCGATATCTTCATCCGCGTCGTCACTGACATCGGCTCCATTACCTACTATGCCGATATCAACGGCGGCCATGTTGAAGACGACCGCCTGCAATTACGGCGCCAGCTCATTGCAAACGTCCGCGGCACAACTACCTTCCATACCAGCGGGCTTGGCGCCCAGCACGCAGCTACTAACTACAATCGGCGTCTCGCCTTCGGTAACACCTTCCATTATGGAGCGCATACCAACACCGCCATTGTCGGTGACCGTGCCCATTGGTGGCTATCATCATCAACTACAACAGCTTCAACATCAGCAGCAACAGCAGCAGCATCAACAACAACAGCAACAACAGCGTTTGTATCAGCAACAGCAACAAATGTTATTGGACAACATTGTAGCCGAGAGCGCCACGCCCACAACATCGCTGCAGACGCTTAAGAGCAGCAGTTGCAGTTTGTCCAGCACCAGCGGCGCTGTAGAACGTAATAGCAATCGAAATAGCCTGCTAACGATGGATTGTTATCCACTGACACCAACCACACCTCGGTCGCGTACGCCAAATACAATGGGCTCAGATGAAAATAACTGTAACTGCAATAGTAGAGACTGTAAAATGTGCTATCCAAATAGAACGACATAGCACAGTGTTGCTGAGCTTGTTGCTGACGTTGGGAGCTCCACAGTTGAAGGCATTGAAATTGCGGAGATCGCATAGAGAGCACGGACAGGTGTTAGGAAACTTTGACGAAGGGTAGAGGTGCGTAAAAGATAGAGGATTGAGGAGCTCAACGGTAGGAGGAGTAGCAGTAATATAAAAGACACGGGTACAGCGCAGCGTGAATAAGTTGTGCATTAACTAGCAACAAATTCCTGAAAGCGCGTATGCTTAGGGCGGGAGTGGGAAAAATTCTTATCTTAGACATATAAGTATGTGTATTTGCTGCAATATGTTGTATTAAATCAAATTATATTATGCATATTAGGGTGGTCCAAAGAATACAGTGATAGAAATAATATAAATTAAAATTTAACGAAATTAAATTATTTTAAAATAAACTACATTAAACTAAATTAAATTTAAAAAAATTAAATTAAAATAAAATAAAATAAAATAAAATAAAATAAAATAAAATAAAATAAAATAAAATAAAATAAAATAAAATAAAATAAAATAAAATAAAATAAAATAAAATAAAATAAAATAAAATAAAATAAAATAAAATAAAATAAAATAAAATAAAATAAAATAAAATAAAATAAAATAAAATAAAATAAAATAAAATAAAATAAAATAAAATAAAATAAAATAAAATAAAATAAAATAAAATAAAATAAAATAAAATAAAATAAAATAAAATAAAATAAAATAAAATAAAATAAAATAAAATAAAATAAAATAAAATAAAATAAAATAAAATAAAATAAAATAAAATAAAATAAAATAAAATAAAATAAAATAAAATAAAATAAAATAAAATAAAATAAAATAAAATAAAATAAAATAAAATAAAATAAAATAAAATAAAATAAAATAAAATAAAATAAAATAAAATAAANATATATAATATATAATATATAATATATAATATATAATATATAATATATAATATATAATATATAATATATAATATATAATATATAATATATAATATATAATATATAATATATAATATATAATATATAATATATAATATATAATATATAATATATAATATATAATATATAATATATAATATATAATATATAATATATAATATATAATATATAATATATAATATATAATATATAATATATAATATATAATATATAATATATAATATATAATATATAATATATAATATATAAAATAATATTTAAAACATAAAAAAATGCTTTATACATATTTGTTCTGAAAACTACAGACACCAATAATCAGGCACATTTACATATACCATATTTGGACTGCCCTAGTGTATTTTTATATGTTTTTGTTTTCTAAGTTGGTTTTGTCAAAACTACTTTATACACTGGTTTCATATAAACTTTATATTCACATCATTTCCAAACGCAACAGTGGAAGCAGTGAGAAGTAAAAATTCCGAAAAAGAAATAAATTAATATATATTCAAAATTCTCCAGAGCGCAGTCGCCGAAATCTTGTTCGCCAACTGAGAATTTTTAAGTAAATTATTTATTATTGTAAAATTGCATTAAGCTTATTTTGAGTCTCAAATTTAAGGCATAAAGCAATTATAAGTGGTATTTGTTATAATTTTTAAATAAATTTTTATGAAATAAATCTTTCGTTAAGTCTGTATTTAAAAATATTCCTATTCAAAATTTATTTTAGTCAATTATTAAACAAATGCAATTACTTGCGAAGCCAAAAAAGAAATTTACGAAAATGTATATTACGCTTATGTAAGTGCATAAATTGTGTTCAAGATTTTATTATGTGTATGTATGTGTTTGCCTGCGATTAGCAAATTCTTTATTGAAATAACGATTATGTTTTTTAAAACCAAAAAAAAAATTAAAAAGCTGGCAACACACACAAAAACAAGTAATGCAAGCAATTGCAAGCTGCGCATGCGTCACAGTTTCTCATTCTATGCTCCCTCCTGTTGCGTTTTTAAAGGATTTTAATTATGTAAAAAAATTTTAATTTTAATTAAATAAATATTAATTTTAATAAAATTTATATTTTAAGTTAAATCAATTAATAACTGTAAATAAACAATATAAATGTTAGTATAGTTAATATTTAGCCTTATATACATATATACATACACACATGCACACATACACAAATATGCCTACCATTCGCAGTATGTTTGTATTGTAAGTGAAAAATGGAAGAAATTATTTAAATAAAATAAATGGATTTTTAATTAGCGTAAAATAGCGGAAAATAGCAGTATGTGAAAATAAAATGAAAAACAATAATAATAATAAAAATAAATTAAAATGAATTGAAATAAATTTACATGTATACTACATAAAAATGCACAGTTGTCATTTTTATTTCAACAAACTGTCTGTGTTAGCGGGTATAAAATCTCACATAATAAACTAAAAAAAAAACAATTACCTTTATCCTTTGTGTGCGGTGAAAATTGGAAAAATTCATGAGGCGCTTGCATATTAATAAAAAATATATAAACGAAAACTTATGGAAAATATTTTACGTTTCTTATTTCATTTGATTTTTATTTATTTATTTTGATAAATTTTTTCAAACTAAAAATGTTATGAAATCGACTGTACCGGTTTGGTATTTAGCAAGATTTGTTTAGCTTAATTAGAAAATTCTTTAGTAACTTTGAGGACGAAATAATTTAATTTTTTTTTGGATTATTTTCTTAATTAATTTAGCTAAAATTTCTCAAAATTTAGAAAGACACAAAATAATTAAAAAAAATTAGCGCTACTGCACAAGCGTAAGATTTATTTATGAAGAGCAATCCCTTTTAGCAAAATAAAAAATTAACAAAAAGTTGAAGGGACTTGATTAAAAAATTTATTTATTTTTTTATTGTTGGTTTATTTTTTTAATAAAAATAGTTTAAAAATTACATAAATCTATGAAATTTTCAGCTCAGAATCGCTAGATTACTTTGAAAAAATATTTGTTGTAATTACAATATTTTTTTTGTTATTGTTGCTTATTTATTTAATGCAATTTGAATAAAATAGTTGTGAAATATTGTCAAAGCACAAGTTCTCACAATGTCATTTTCTTTAAAGTAGTGCAGACATATCTTGCATTTCATTTTTATTAGAATTGATTTATTTACAAATTTACTAATATTATATTTTATATTTTTTTTTTAAATAAAAAAAGATGTTATTTTCACTGTGCTTTCCGAAATATCTAAAACAAAAATGGTTTCAAACATTGCGTCGCACGATCAAATATAGCTGAAATATAAATATAATGTTTAGCGAAAAATACCATAATTACATTTACATATGTATGTACATATGTATTTATTTCATTGAAAATTAAAGTTACATATTAAATTCAAAAAATAATAATAATGTGAAAAACAAACTGCCGAATTTAGACTCAAAATTATTTCGTGCTTGTTATCCGAATGAGTAATTTACGGGATTTTTTTAACTTTTATAAATGATGAAACAAAAATCCATTAACATTTTGCAAGGCAAAAAAAAAATATTGAAAAGGAAAGAAATATAAAGAAGGCCGAAATTTGAAAAATAAAAAGAATAAAAAAAGATAGAATCATACATTTCATGTTAAAAATGTATTCATCCATTCATTTTCGAATTGTTTATTTTATTTTATTTTATTTTATATTATTTTATTTTTTGCGAGTCGGCAGCACAAAGAGTGTAATAAACCACAAAAAAAAAACATAAAATAAAGGTAAACAGATAGTAAAAAGCAATTCTCATCTTGATGTCTAAAATATGCGTTTACAAAAACAAAAGTTTGAAAAAGCATGCGTAGAATGCCAAACATTATAGCGAAGCCCATTAAAGTAATACAAAGTGTGTACTAAAAACTATGTGGCTATGATGAAGGAAATAGAAAAAATAAAATAAAATATGGCAGTACGTACACTAAAAATACTAAAAAGAAAAAAGAGCAAAAAAAATCCATAAAACCGAAAAACAAAAGCAAGCCAATGGAGAGTTAGGCTGTTTGAGCCGTCAAAATATGCATGTGACTTGAGAAAACAATATATAAACTGTATGTGTCTATTAAAGAAAAAATTAAAATAATAATAAAAAATACTAAAAGCATTAAATTTCCAAGAAAAAAAATTTATTTCAAATCAATTTTGCAAATATCCGAAAAAAATTGACAAAAAATTATTGCAAAAAATTTTAAATTAAAAATTTAACTTTGCTTTTGTGTTTAATAGTACTTTACCGCCACAAATGAATTTAAAAGTCAATAGTAAAATTATTATTTCTATTTCATACAACTGAACAACGACAACTGCAAATGTTTACACTTATTACACATAAATAAATGTTAAAAAAAATAAGCCACTTATACGCTGTGCGAAAAGCCTTTGTTAAACACTCCAACGAACAATAATAATAAATTATTATTATTTTTTTTATATACATAGACGTACATACATACATACCATAAAGAGTTTTTTGCAATAGGAACTTTTAATCTATTTTTCTCTCTTTTGCATTTTCGGAACACTTAAGTTGGGCTCCAAAAATAACGATAATTTCGAAATTTCCATCCGATTGTCAAACATTACTCCTATGCCCCGGCCCTTAAGTATGATGAAACTTTCAGCTATTTTCATTAATGACTTTGCTTGTGATCACCACTAAGATTAGCCGATTTTCGTTTGCCAAAGGAGAAAAGTAAAGCACGAGTTTGCGAGTGGTGTAGGCGTTTCCATGAAGGTCGTGTTGATGTTGAAGGCAACACATCAACAACAGATAAAAATTAGGAAAAAAGTAAAAGAAATGATTGTGACTGATCGCTGCATCCAGAAATCGCTGAAGACGTTGGCATATCAATTGGATCGTACCTTTACACTTTTTTCAATAGTTTCGTGTATGAAACGGGCGATACAAACAACCGAGAGAAACATCAACCTCAACCGCTTTTTTTACAACAAACCGTTCTATTGTTGTTGTATCAGATTGTTCAACCAGGCCTAGGCGCACGCAAAGTTTAGTATATCGTCGAGGTCGTCTAATGGCAGGTCCAGGAAGCGAACTACCTCAACAGGGCGCAGGGAGGGGATTACTAACATGCGCGGATTCATTGTGTATTTCATGGCCAAATCTAGACAGGTGGAAGTAGAGTTTGCGATAATATGCCGGTATTATACGAACCTCATGGGACAGGTGCAGCACTTTGTCTGCCATTGGCGGTGGTTGAATTCCGTGCACATCATTCACAGGAAGAGAGCTTATAAAGATATTAGGGAACTCTCTATGTATGGCATTGTGTGGATCTGTCATTGTGTCGTCATGTCCAGTGGTTCTGTTTTGTAATGCTTAATGAATTTTATGCACATTTTATACCTTTAAAAATGGAATATATTTATGTACATACATGCTATGTATTTTGCGCATAAATATCTTCT